TCTATGGCATTTGCATTGCATCTCATTCATTCATTGGCATATGGAGTTACGTCGCTGCTTGCTAGCTACGACCGTATCGGTACAACATTGTTTATTAGGCATAACGATGTGGCTTCATACTTTGTTGGGTATGAAGGCAAGAGACATGGCATTTGCATTGCATATGCACTATAATTTTGGCCTATGGCATGATGGTGTTGGACTAAGGCTTTGGATGAGTTCATGAGAAGCTATGCTTCTCCAAGGTTTGTTGGTTATTAATCTTTACCATGGATGGAGTTGTATCAATTGTTGGACACATCTCATTGCTTATTGTTGGCTTACATATAAATGAGGTTTAAATCGATGCTTATTGAACTTGTAGTCTAAATAGCTTGTTAAAGCAGTTTACTTGCTGAGATTTTTATATCTCACACCCCCCTTTCTATCTTTCTAGGTACTCAAGTGGCTTTGCTTGAAGGGTGGGAAAGTAGCAGCACCTTTGCACATTAATGCCACAATCCAATGTTAAAATAATATGTATTATAGTAATAACATGATTAGAAGTAGAGCTTATACTTATGGTTCTTGTTGGGTTGTTTCCTGTAGTTTGTTGTTAATGCTTTTCTGCTCATTAGGATGCTATATCTTGTTGGTTGAGCTTATTTATATCTCTCTATATGTGGTTGCTTCCGCGTTGCTCCTGTTTAAGGGGAGATGCTGCCAAAATTATTGTTGATCGCTCTAGTTTCCAACTCTTGTGGTGACATCTTAGGTAGGGAGGTTTTGGGGTGTTACATCTCCAATGGCTTCTACTTCAGCTTTGACTCTATTTGCCTTAATATGTCTTTCTCCTCTTTGCAGAGTCCTCCTCGTATGGAATTCCTGTAATGAATTTGCAACATGAATAGTTGCATCTGAATCAATCCACCAAGTAGATTTTGCATAACTTAAATACAAGGACTCATCTACGGATATAATAATGTCCTCACTTTTTCTTATTAGGTGCTTCAGGAAATCTAGACAAACCTTCTGGTAGTGTCCAGTCTTCTTGCATCATTTATAGGTGTCCTTGTCTACTTGAACATAGTTGGATTTCTGATGGTGATCTTTCTGTGGGGCCTTTCCTTGTGACTGAGAAGAGCAGATATTGTCCCACTGAGGTTTCTCTTGTGGTTTGTCTTTCTTGTTGTTAAAGTTCTTCCTTTTATTTTCCTTCACAGGTTGGCTGAGTCACCATGTGAGCTCTTAAGCCTCTCCTCTTCTTGCACACACATGGAATGAGCTTCTCAATGTCCCACTTATCTGGCTGTAAGTTGTAGTTCACAACAAAAGTCTCATACTCTTTGGGCAAAGAAGCAAAAAATCAAATGAATTAGGAACTCATCCTTGAGCCCCAAGTCCATTAGCTTGAGCTTAGATGTCTTGTTGCTTATACTTAGTATGTGCTCTCTTATCCCTCCGCCAGTGTATTTCTCATTGATTAACTTCTTAATAAGAGTGCTTACATAAGCCTTTGAAGAGCCAGTGAACAGACTCTCCACCTTCTTGAGATACTCAGTGGCGGTGGTACATTCTGGGATTGAACCCCATATTGGATCCTCAATGGAGCCCTTAATCACCATCAAACACTTGATGTTTGAACTATCCCACTTCGCATGATCAAGGTCGTACGTCATTCTCACTGATGCATGGTCACGCTGCCGAGTAGCGAAAGCTGTATCATTCTCATTTTCTACTCTCATCGGGTCCACAGGCTCAGTGGGACACGGAGAGATAAGTGCTAGATCATTGTCTGACAGCGCAAGTGCTATCTCAAGCTTCTCTCGTCATACGTTGTAGTTGTTTTCGTTGAGAGGCGGAATGGATGAGATAAACATCATTGGGTTGTATCCTGAAAATAACGTCAGAGAAAGTGAGAAACATTTGACATAATAATTGCATGTTGTAATTTAACGTTGATCAAAATTAAAACATACAATGTGTTTCTACATTAATTCTACATCACCGTTGGGCAGAAATAGAACTAATGCATAAAACATTATGAATAAAAATTATAATATTACTATCATCAACTTTGGTCAGAAAATAACAATATCATAATTTATAGAAAATTATTACTACTCTTCAAAAATTAAATCATCCTGTTGGTTCGAATTTAATCAGAAGATAATAAGCATCATCATTTGCAGAGAAAACATGAAAAAGAAATCTATCTACTTTTCAGAAGCATTTTACTGTACTCATATACTCTCTGAAATAATTAATCCGTTGGTTCAAATTTTGATAGAGATTTAAACCTTCAAATTTGACTAAAATTCATCTAAATTTACTTCTGAAAAGAATAAAACTAAATACAAGATTGTTACTGTGCATTTTGGCCCGAAGGCCCAGCTCACCAGCGGCCCACGCCCACTCCCGCATGGCCCATCGGCTCACTCGCGCTCTGTGCGCATCCCGTGTCCCAGGCCGCAACCTGGGTCGGGGCCGGGAAAGTTACCTCCCGCATGAGCCGAAAGGCGGTTCGGTCCCCCTCGGTCATCGATCTTCATCCGACGATCGATCAGTATCCTCGGTGGATCTCTCCCTGAACCCTAGCTTCTCATTCTTCTCTCCCTCCCTCGTCTCTCAGCGCACAACGACCCAGCAATGGCGCCCACGTGAGGCGGCTAGAGGGAGAAGGGTCGGCACCGCCGCAGGCCCCCTTGCCGGCCTGAACGTTCGCCTAAGGGCGAGCACGCCGCCGTCGAGCGGGCTTGTGGTGGTGCCCTCAGCTAGAGCTCGTTAGCGCGGCGACGAGCGGTGGCTCGGGTCTCTACTGGCGACGCGGTGTGCTCACGGGCGGTGGCGATGTCTACGGTGGCAAGAGGACCAAGTAGGTTCCCCTTTTCGTCCTTTTCCCTTTAGGGTTAGGTGTAGGGTTAGGGTTAGAACCCGATTCATCTAGATTTGTTTTAATCAATTCGCCTCCTTCTACTTGCTGACACTCAAACTACCCCGATCTAGATCTACTACCTAGGAGGCGACTGATATTAATGTTAATTCTTAGGATCGTCTAGGAGCAGATCTAGCGGGTGATTCCTTTTCAATTCAGGATAAACAAGCCTAGATCCAACCTAGAACATGAATTAGAGAGAGAAACTAGAGAGAGAGAGAGCGAGGGGTGCAGAGGTAGCTGACCATCGATGGGCTTGGCGGAGGAGCTCGCCATGGTGACGGTGTCGGTGCAGCCTAGGTCGGTGGCGGCGCGGTGAGGTCTGGAGATTGGCGGCGCGGGCGACGACGAGTCGAGGAGGACGGGGGTGGCGCTTCCCGCCGCTGCTGCGCTCCCTTAGATCAGTTAGGGTTTGTCGGTGGGGTGCTTTGGCAAAACTGGTGAACCTCATACCGTGAGCCGTCGGCCCCTACCTCTTTATATAGCGCAATGCGATGAGGGCCCACCAACCATGATTTGGTTGGGCACCCCCGATCAGGGCGCGGATCAGGGCTCAAGTTGGCCGTTGGACCGATTTGGTGGAGATCAACCTAATAGAATTGTATTAAAAACATTTATACAACATCGTAAACTTGAAGAACTATAAGAATGTAGCTAGAGTAGTAGAATTAGTTTGAAAGCTTTATAGTAAAATTCTGCTTCTTGAGAAGTCAAATAATTTTAGGTTTATTTAGATTTTTAAAAAATACTAAAATTTATAACACCAAATAAATATCATTAAGTACTTATAGTATATATTTTAAAAGTAAACCTATTTAGAGACACAAATGTCGATAGTATTTCATATAAAGTTTGGTCGAAATGAAAAAAGTTTGACTTGTCTCAAGTTTAGAATTACATTCTTTTTGGGATAGATCATTAAAAAAAAGATTAGTGATTAAAACATAAATAGAAAATATATAACATGGACTTCTAATGTCCTTCCTTTTAAACTCATAATAGGTGCACACAATAACTACCTACTTAAATTGAATCAATCTCCTGGTAATTTTCCATGCAAGAGTAATCCTTTACTGCACTCGCTTTTATTATGGATCTTAGATTTAATTTAATTTAATGTTGGATCAAATCCAATTAAATCTAACAAAAATAACTAGCTAATTAACCTCGGTATAAGCACTGTGCAACAATATTGTATATCCTGTTGTAGTGCATGAGCATATTTGCCAGTAAAATAAAAACAAATATTATGGTCAACACGTCTAGCTTTAAATGCCGTTTAAGCGGATTGCTTTTGGTTTGTAGTTGTAGCCATTTCTCGTGCTTTCCCCCACTAAAGTTTCTTCCACTTGCATATTGCCTCCACATTTGACAGCAAATAGTTAACGGGGCTGCTGTATCGCACCAGGCTTTAGTATTTTACCTAACTGAGTGAAAGCTACTACCTCTTGTCATAAAAGCCGGACACGATTTAGTTAGACTTAAAAAATGATACATCGATCACTACAAAAGTATTACTTTTAAAGCTTTATATAGTATTACTAAAAAAAATGAAAGTTCGAGTAGTATTGAAAAAAAGATTAGTCTAGTCTAGAATTTTCTTTTTGTTGAAAACAGTCTAGTCTAGAATTAGAAACGTGCCCAACTGTCCACGCCATAAAAACGTCGAAGGAGAAAAATCTCAGACGAGTCAGCATGCCAATTGCCAACCTCTTCTCCGACCCCGTTCCATTTTTCTGAGGGGGTCAAAGAGATACGACGGCGTTGCGTACTTGTGTTGCGTGAGATCGGAGATCCAGCGGTTAAAGTCGTAACCTGGGCTATGAAGTCTCACTAAAGTACAGCTTTGGTCAAAGGCGAGGCGGCGGCGGTTCTCGCCGGAGCTCGGAGCCATCGTGTACGAGCACTCAGCTTCAGGTTACAACTTACAAGCACATACTACTTGTACTCAGGTCACCACATTCTTGTTCACCTCGCTGATTCATCTTTGGTTCTTGTGCGTCTTGTGTCGTCTTGTGCAGTCGCGCTCGTGCCGGCGAATGATTTCTTCCCTGCCGTGTTCTTGCTCGTAGTCGTTCCCCTGCAAATGATGCCCGGCACGGCAATGGAGGCAGCAAAGCGCGGCTGCCCCGCGTTGGGGCCTCGCGGGTGCGCGCCGCCCACCTTCCTCGTCTTCTTCCTCCTGCTGGCCGTCGCTGCTTCGGCGACGGACACCATCCTCCCCGGCGCGGGCATCTCCGGGAACCAGACACTCGTGTCCAAGAACGGCGACTTCGAGCTGGGATTCTTTGCCCCGGGCGCCGACATCCACCGCTTCCTGGGCGTCCGCTTCAAGAGGATGCCGAGCACCAGCCCCACGTTCTGGGTCGGGGACAGGGTCGGCATCTCCGACCTCTCCGCCGCGGCGCTGGAGGTCTTCGCCGGCAGCCTGTGCATCACGGAGGCCGGGTCTACCTGCTGGTGTTCGCCCGTGGCGGGGGCCGGGCCGCCGCCTCCCGCCGCGGCCGCGGTGCTTCTTGGCGACGGCAACATGGTGGTGAGGGACCAGGCCAACGCCTCGCGGGTGCTGTGGCAGAGCTTCGATTCCCCCGGCGACTCGCTGCTCCCCGGCGCCAGGCTCGGGCTCGCCGGCGACACGGGAGCCAACGTCTCCTTGACGTACAAGAGTTACTCGCACAATGGCAGCGTCGGCGTCGACCGGAGCAGGAGGAACGGGTTCGTGCTCACCACCGATGGGCATCCCAGCCTTGGGACCTTCCCGGATTGGATGGTGACATCACAAGACAACGGCAGCTCACTGGTTCTGAATCCTCCGGACAGCCCTAATCTGACCGAGTTCTTGCAGTTCCTCCTGGGGCAAGTCAGCTTGATGCGGTGGTCAGAGGATTCTGCAGCGGCCAATAGCAGTGGTTGGGTACCTCGTTGGACCTTCCCTTCAGATTGCAAAAACAGTGGCTTCTTCTGTGGCAATTTCGGTGCTTGCACAAGCAATGGCAAATGCGATTGCGTCGATGGATTTGAGCCTTCCTATCCAGCTGAGTGGAACCTCGGATCCTTTGCTACTGGTTGCTCGAGACCGAGATCTCTTCCATTGAGCTGCGAGACGAATGGCCAGACTGAACATGACGACTCTTTTATCCTGCTGGACAAGCTGCATGGGCTCCCTTATGATTCTCAGAATGATTTAGCAAGAAGTGATGAGGATTGTAAGCAAGCCTGTCTCAGCAAATGCTACTGCGTCGCATATGTGTATGACTCCGGATGCAAGCTGTGGTACTACAACCTGTACAACCTGAGTTTTGCTTCTAGACCTCCATACAGCAAGGTTTATGTTCGTTGGGGCTCCAAACTCAGGGCCAAAAATGGTTTGCACACATGGCTGATTGTTTTCTTGGTGATCGGGTTAATAGCATTGGCTTCTGTGATATTGGTACTGGCGCTTCTATGGAGATACAGGAGAGATCTATTTGCTTGCAGAAAGTTTGAAGTGGAAGGTTCTCTTGTGTTCTACTCTTATGGGCAAGTCAAGAAAGCCACAAGGAATTTCTCTGATAAACTCGGCGAGGGAGGTTTTGGAAGTGTTTTCAGGGGAACAATGCCAGGATCAACTGTTGTCGCTGTTAAGAGTCTCAAAGGTAGCGGGCAAGCAGATAAGCAATTCAGAGCTGAAGTGCAGACAATTGGGGTGATCAAACACGCCAATCTCGTCCGTCTTCTGGGATTTTGTGTTAAAGGAGATATGAGGTTGCTGGTCTATGAGTATATGCCTAATGGGTCTTTGGATTCACACCTCTTCTCAGAAAGATCCAGTCTTCTGAACTGGGATCTTCGCTTCCAGATTGCACTAGGTATTGCAAAGGGCCTAGCCTATCTTCACGAAGAATGTGAGGACTGCATCATACATTGCGACATCAAGCCTGAAAACATACTACTAGATGGAGAATTCCGCGCTAAAATCTCAGACTTTGGCATGGCAAAGCTTCTTGGACGTGAATTCAACTCTGCATTGACCACCATCCGAGGAACCATGGGATACCTCGCGCCAGAGTGGATATCTGGGCGGCCCATCACTAAAAACACGGATGTTTATAGCTTTGGCATTGTGCTTCTTGAAATAATATCAGGAAGAAGGGCTACAAAGAGGCTGAAATTCGGAAGCCACCGATACTTCCCTCTTTACGCTGTTGCTCAAGTGAACGAAGGAAATGTGTTGTGCTTGCTGGATGGTAGGCTGGAAGGAAATACTGATGTCAAGGAGCTGGACATCGCCTGCAGAGTCGCCTGTTGGTGCATCCAGGATGAGGAGAACGACAGGCCATCGATGGGCCAAGTTGTCCGCATGTTGGAAGGTGTTGTGAACACTGAAATCCCTCCAATTCCCTCTTCATTTCAGAACCTTATGGAGGGTGAGAACAGTGGTATATATTCGGACGAAGGATAAGGTTCTATTTAGGGTGGGAGCATTTGGTAGGATGAATAACTCCAAGGTTAGTGCTAGTTTAATAGTTTTGGTGCTAGACAACTACTGACTTAGATCTTGACCTACTGGATAACGATAGCATATGCGTATATGTCCAGGTCTAGCTAATTATGAATTACTCCTAGTTAGTAGGAATTGTATGACCAAGAAATGCAATGGAGAAATTGATAATCATGGTCCAGTGTCATCACTTCCAAATGTAAATGAGAGCCTTGACTCTTTAGTTATGATATTTGTAGAGCTTTATCCTGCGATCCGATCAGCACTAATATCGCAAAAACAATACTTGTTACTTTTGTAGCAGCTTTATTGGGCATATCAGTATATGCATGTTGTAACACCCTTGTTTTCAGATTTTGTAATTTGCTTAAAATTTATTTAGTTGCATTACAGAGCTTCATAATTGTTGGATAGGAAAATTTTAAATTCTAAATACATGCAACTGAACCATAGGCTATATCATGTTCTTAAGATTATCTTTCTGATTTTCTGTTGCGCTAGAAATCGATTTGCTCAGTTCCCTGAAATTTCGGTATGCCTTTTTTCCTGTGTTTCTTGTGCGTTTTGCTTTCGTCCAGCCTCTGCTTCCTAGTTGGGCCGAGCCCAGATAGTCATATGTGTAGTTTCAAAATAATTAGTTTGCTTGGATACATGAAAGTCGTACGTGCAATTTTTATCTTGATAAGTACAATACACGTTAGAGTTATCTAAAAGTACTTTATTGTCTCATAACAAAAAAAAAATGGTGGTTAAAGTTTAAAACCTGAGATAAAAAAAAGACTAAGCATGAAATATTTATAACTAGAGTAATACACAAACAAACCTTATTTGCGACCATAATAGAGTACTAGATAGCTTTGGTAACGCCAGCAATAGCGGCCGCTACAGAGGTAGCGGTCCTCTATCGCTATAAAGTAGCGGACCAAAGATAATGTGTCAAAACTTAGCGTCCAGCATTATTGTTGTTAGACTACTATTTGCTATGTCTAAGGTAGCGGACCGAAGATAGTGTGTTGAAACTTAGCGTCCACCATTGTTGTTGTTAGACTACTATTCGCTATGTCTATGGTTCAAATGGCAACGTAGGTGGTTCCTTTAGTAATAAAAACGTTAAGATCGCGATATACACCATGATAAAGAATTTTCTATAATTAATAATACTATTTTCAATTGATATGAGAACTTAATGATAATTTATCTCCACGAGTCTTCTTTATATATTATTCATGTAGTATATGCTCCTTTGTGATTCTATGCAATTAAACTTAATAATTAACTACAACTTATAATTATTTTAAACAAACACGATATTAGTATCGGCATATGCTCCACCAAATTTTGACTATTTTTAATATTTCACTATTAAAACTTAGTGTTCGCTAACCCACTATCCGCAATCATCTATGTAAGCACTAATACACTATTAAGCCACTATCTGTTATTTATTAGTTTGTTTGTTGCATATAATGCTATGCGCCCTTGTTTGTAAAAAAAAATAAAGAAAGAAAAGGCTCTGCAGTCTAAGAGCATCTCCAACAGATTACTTATCCCATTTCCTAATACCGAGAAGTGCGATATAAGATATTATGATTACTCCAACAGGTTACTCGATTATTCTATCTATAATATCTAAAAGTTTTAACTAATTACTTAAAATCCACCCCCTGTCCCTCAAATGTAATGTAGGAGATCCACCACCTCCTCCCTATTCACTTTAAAGGTATTGGTGATCTCTTGGAAGAGAATTAGTACACTAGAGAGGGTCTGAGCTTCATGTAAATCTTTACTAACCCCTAGGGCACTCGAAGGCGTGTTGTATTGAACTTTTTCTCTACCTTTATACAAAGGCGCACAAACTTTTTTTGTGATAGAGAAAAAGAAGAATAACAAAAGTTGTACCACAATAATAGGAGATTACTTACATAGACTTTTAGGAGATGAGATAGATAATTTGTTCGAGGACAATGTGACTATGTGTGAACGAAGTATAGTGTCCCTGAAAAGGATTCTCGTCTACCACGCAACGGGGAGTTTGACTTAGGCCTAACCACACACGTCAGGGGTTTTCCTGCATTAACAATGTCAGACGCAGCAGCGGAGCAGTCATACGATCGACCTCCAGCAACAAACTACACACGCCATGAAGGTGGCTATGATATTCTAATATTTGGGACTCCTTTGAAATAAATGATGATTATATTATTCGACTTAATATTAATATCCTCTTGAGACTGTCATCGTCTTTGGCCCCTCCTAGAGATCTCACTTTTATACTCGCTTTGACCGTAAGAATATGACGTGCTGGTGCTTTGACTAAAACCCACTCAAACTTTTGAAAATTGACCGCTAATAGCTCTTAAAGTATTTGGTTTCAAGATATAAATATGATATGAGTAATATTTTAATAGGAAACTATGGTAAAATTTGCACCCTGAAGATCAAAAGAAGTGAAACAAATATATTTGTGATAGGAAAAGAGTACATGATGCAACTTTGAAAAAGGTACGATAAACGTAGGATTTTCAACTTAACTTGTGGGTCGAAAAAATGTAGCAACTAATAAGATCCGTATCTAGATGAACGGAGCACTTACATGCATTTGGGTAGGCCTGATCAGTTAAACTTGAGACGACAGAGGATCAATAGGAAGTTCATATAGGACACTATAAATCCAGAGTGTACTGTAAACCCATAAGTAATCTCTGATTGAATCAAAACCAAGGTGCCGTTATTAGTGACGCCAAATGTTAGGAGTTCTCTTGATTTATCGAATAAAACTTGCTGTTCTTACTTGTTGTTAGTGACGTGATTAAATGAATGTGGCGTCTAATTATACTTCAGGGCCGGCATATTATGATATGTTTACAGTAGGCTGCGACCCCTCTTGTTTTCAAATCAAAGGGGAAAAAAATATGCCGGCAAGCTGTATGCACTCCTATAGCCTATGCCAAGCAAGCTGGCATCCCTTTTGCTTTAAAAAAAAAAGAAATGGCAAAAGCTCTGCCTTTCAATTAAGATAGAAAAAAGTTGTTTATATACAAGCAGCAAGTACACGCCCTCTAGTGGCCAAAACCAGTAAAGAACGGCATCCCTTTTGCTCAGACATGGAGCTGAGGGAAGCATCAGAACAGTCCCGAAGCACAGCTAGTACACCACAAATGCCTTCCAAGTGAAGTATGGCGAGAAGGATTGACTTTCCATATTGCAGGTATGTATCTTAGTTCAAATTTCTGTGCTTCAACTTTCAATTCAACAGCTGCAAATCTATCACCTACTTATAGTACTAGTTTCTTAACTTTGTGTCTTCTCTGAAGTGCTGGTGGATGTTTTCCCTTGAAGAAAATGAATAGCAGAGATCCAACCTCTTCCATTTCTCCAGCAGTATTATTCCTCTCCATCGTCCTAGTGTTCCAAGCCATCCCAACTGCTGCAGTGACAGACAACCTTCTTCCTGGCCAGTCTATCTCAGGGAACAAAACATTGACATCGAAGAGTGATATATTTGCGCTAGGGTCATTTGCCTCAACCTTTTATGAACAACACTATTTGGGCATGCACTACAAGTGTTAGATTGATCTCTAATCCCAAACTGGGCCCAACGGCCCAGTTGGGCCTTTGATCCGTGCCCTGATCGGGGGCGCCCAGCCCACTATGGCTGGAGGGCCCCTGTCACACCGCGCAATAAATAGAGGTGGGGGCCGACGGCTCAAGTCACGAGGTTCGCCTGAGCCGAGCTCCCCACCGAAACCTAAACCCTAATCCGATCTAGAGGGACGTAGCCAGTGATGGGAAGCCACCAGCTGCGCCGCCCCGCTCCACCTACGTCGACGGCTTCATCGACCTCTTCCCCGAACGTCGCTGCCCGTGCGCAGACTTCACCGACGAACGAGATGGCCGATGCCTTTGGATCGACTCCCTCTGCAGTGTCAGGTTTGACACGTCCATCTTCTACCCCTCCCTTTTTCTCTCGTTCTACCTACTGTTACTGCACTAGTAGATGTTCTAGGGTTCATGATTCTATTCAACAGCAAGTAGACATGTTAGTTCCATGCCTATAGATCCTGTTCAAGGTTTAACAATGGTACCAGAGCCTCGTTTGGGTATAGATCTAGCCTATCAGATTAGATCAGTTCGGATCTGAGAAAATAACAGAGGGTTCGATCCGTTTTCAGATTGAAACCCTAACCCTAATCGGGAAACGAACCCTAACCCGTCGGGGAAGAAGAACAGTGACTCAACCGTACACTACCCGTCGGGGAAGATGAACAGTGAACGAAACCCTAACCCTAACCAAACCCTAATCTCGATCCTAACCCCATCCCCAACCCAAAATCGGATAGATCCGAGAAAAGAAGAAAGGAAAATCAAAGAAAAGAAAAGGGGAAGGGGAAGGAAAATCACGACGGCGGCGCGCTCACCCGCTAGGGAGAGCACGCGCCGGCGAGAGGGCCGGCGACGGCGCCGTCATCGTCAGGACCGAGACAGAGGAGGAGGAGAATAGGCCGGGTCAAATCTAGGGTTTCGAGGGGATCAGGGCACCGCCGCTAGTCCGCTCGACGGCGACGTGCTCACCCGTGTGGGGAGCGCGCGCGCCGGTGAGGGGGCCGGCAACGGCGCCAAAGTCGCTTGCGCTCTCGCTCTCGGTTGCTACTGCTGCTTGCTGCACTGAGGAAGGAGAGCGGCTGAGAGAGAGAAAGAAAGAAATGCATAGGGTTTCAGGGGCAGCACGCGGCCGCGGGGGGTTTTGATCCAGCGACATCGTCGCTCAGCCGTCGGATCAACGTGGACGCTCCAAATTCACTGGACCGTCGGCCAGCCCATGCGGGTGCGCGCGGCAGCGCGGCTTTGCCGGCCCAGGCCCAGGTTGCGGCCTGGGTGCGGGCAGCGCGCGTGCAAGGGTGGGAGGCCGGGCCGATTTCTTGGTCGGGCCGAAGGAACAGTGTTGATTTGAGTCAATTTTT